CATTCAACATATTTGAGACTCAACAGCACGAGTTCCACACGTACGGGTTCCCGCGCCGTGCCGAACGTTGCTTCGTAATCTCGCTGTTCTTTCAAAATGCACATTCGGCCAATCGCAAAGATCGGCCAGGCGATGGAAATATATGTTTCCCCAGTTGGTATGGAACCCCCCTGGGGAACACATGGGGAAGAAGGGGAGGATGAGGAAACGGACTCTTGGGCGCAGCTTGGCTAAACCATCGGACTATATAGTCCCCGCCCTGAGGCACTTTGGAAACGCTTCGTCGAGCACTTGGGGGATGGTGAGGTGGAGGATCAGGAGAGAGAAAGGAGGGGAAGGAGGAGGAGGAGGGGGAAGAGGAGCAGGAGGAGGAGGAGGAGGAGGTGGAGGAGGAAGGGATGAGGAGGAAGAGAAGGAGGAGAGGAGGAGGCGGAGGAGGAAGAGGAAGAGAAGCTTAGTGAGGACGAAGAGGAGATTAAGAAGGAGGCCTCTTGGGAGCCTCTCGTGACATCCTCGGGGCCTCCTGGGAGCTTCCTGAGAGCCTGTTGGGAGCCTCTTGGGAGCCTCCTTGGGCATCTCGGGGGCCTTTCGGGGCTTCTTGCGGGCCTCTTTGGCCGTCTTAGGGCATTCCTGGCCATGCTTCTGACGCCGTCAGAAGCAAGTTTGGATGCCTATGTGAACCGATTTGGGGCCCTCTTGGGGCGCTTCAGGGCTATCTTGGAGGCCATCTTGGGTGTCTTGGAAACCTCGTGAGCCGTCTTGGGACCCTCTTGGGGCCGTCTCTGAGGCCTCTTGAGCCGTTATGGGGCCATTTTGGAGGCCTCTTGGGCAATCATGGGGGATCCTGGGGGCCTCTTGGGCCGTCTCGGGCCGCCAGAAGGCCAAACAGAAGCAACCGCCCAAATCTTTCAAACACTCATGGGCAATCTATGATTTTGGCCTCTTCGAGCCTTCCTGGAGAACCTCTTGGAGGCCTCTTCGGCCTTCTCGGAGGCCACTTTTTCAGTCATCTTGAGGCCAGCTTGGGCCGTTTGGGAGGATTCTTGGGCAAACTTGGAGGCATCTTGGATCCTCTAGGGCCGTCTTGGAGGCCATCTTGGACCATCTTGGGCGAACTTCAGAGCCATCTTGGCCGACTTGGATGCCATCTTGGGCCGTCGTGGAGCCATCTTGAGCAGCAAACGCCTTTGCGACCACCTCGCCCAGAGCTTCCATCTAGCATGCCAGGCTCCCCTGTGATAAATCAACAGGGGGCGGCGGATCGAAGACGCCTACGGCGAATCACCGCCGCCCCCTGCCTTTTTGTAAGCGCTTATGTGGCCGAACGTTGAGGCCAGACCTGCCAAGCTATCGGACCATGTGTTCCCCGAATCGGTTTGGAAAGCCTTCGAGGAACACGTGGGCATCTCGAAGGTCATCTTGGCCGTGTGGAGGCCATTTTGACCCTTCCGGGCCTTCTTGGAAGACGTCTTGGAGGGCTCGTGGGCCGTCTTGGAGGCCATCTTGAGCGTGGAGGCCTCTTGGGCCGTCTTGGGGGCCTCTTAGGCCGTCTTGGGGGCCTCTTGGGCGATCTTTGGGGGCACTTGGGCCGTCTCGGGCCGTCGGAAGGCCGAACAAAAAGCAAATGCCACAATCCTTCAAACACTAATGGGAAATCAATGATTTTTGCCTTTTCGGCCCTTCTGGAGGCCCTCTTGGGAGCCTCTTGGGCCGTCTTGGGCCATCTTAGGGCCATCTTCGGCCGTTTTGGTGGGCTCCTGGCCCGTCCGACGCCGTTTGGGGGCCCCTCTGGGCCGACTTGGGGCCCTCTTGGAATGCTCCAGGGCCGTCTTGGAGGCCATCTTGGGCGTCTTGGGGGGCCTCTTGGGGCCGTCTTGGGGGCCTCTTGAGCCGTTATGGGGCCATTTTGGAGGCCTCTTGGGCGATTTTTGGGCGATCTTTGGGCGATCTTTGGGCGCTCCTGGGAGCGCCTGGGAGCGCTCGGGAGCGCTCGGGAGCGCCTGGGAGCGCTTGGGAGCGCTTGGGGGCGCCTGGGAGCGCTTGGGAGCGCCTGGGAGCGCTTGGGATCGCTTGGCAGCGCCTGGGAGCGCCCGGGAGCGCCTGGAACGCTTGGAAGCACCTGGGAGCGCTTGGGAGCGCCTGGGAACGCTTGGGAGCGCCTGGGCGATCGCCTGGGAGCGCTTGGGAGCGCTTGGGACCGTCTCGGCCCGTCGGAAGGCCGAAAAGAAGCAAATGTCAAAATCCTTCAAACACCTAATGACAATCAATGTTTTTTGCCTTTTTTCTGGCCTTCCTGGAGGCCTCTTGGAGGCCTCGTGTGCCGTCTTGGGCCAGCTTCGAGCCAACTTCGGCCATCTTGGTGGGCTCCTGGCCCGTCTGACGCCGTCGGAAGCCGTTTTGGGGGCCTCTCTGGGTCCACTTGGGGCCCTCTTGGGGTGCTCCAGGGCCGTCTTGGAGGCCATCTTGGGCGTCTTGGAGGCCTCTTGGGTCGTCTTTGTGCCCTCTTGGGGCCGTCTTGCGGGCCTCTTGGGCAGTCCTGACGCCATCTTGGAGGCCTCTTGGGCGCTGTGGGGGCGATCTTGGGAGCCTCTTGGGCCGTCTTGGGTCGTCGGAAAGCCGAAAAGGAGCAAATGCCCCAATTCTTCAAAAGCATAAGGAAAATCAATGATTTTGGCCTCTTCGGGCCCTCCCGGAGGGCCTCTTGGAGGCCTCTTGGGCCGTCTTGGATGCTTCTTGAGCGAACTTGGTATCTTGGACTCTCCTAGGCCGTCTTGGAGGCCGTCTTGGACCATCTTGGGCGGACTTGGAGGCCATCTTGGAATATCTTGGAGGCCATCTTGGGCCAACGTGGCCATCTTGGAGGCCATCTTGAGCCATCTTGGAGGATTTTTTGTGGACGCTGAGGTGGTTTACGCGGCCTTCCGGGACCCCGGCGGAACGCCCCGAAACCCCAGGGGGAGTTCTTTTGGAAAAAGAACCAAAACCAGAACCGAGAGGATTGAGCACGCCAGGCACCCCTGCGATGAATCGACAGGGGGCGGCGGATCGAAGACGCCTACGGCGAATCACCGCCGCCCCTGCCTTTGTGGAAGCGCCTATGTGGCCGAACGTTGAGGCCAGACCTGCCAAGCTATCGGACCATGTGTTCCCCGAATCGGTTTGGAAAGCCTTCAGGGAACACGTGGGCATCTTGAAGGTCATCTTGGCCGCCTGAAGGCCATTTTGACCCTTTCGGGCCTTCTTGGAGGACGTCTTGGAGGGCTCGTGGGCCGTCTTGGAGGCCATCTTGAGCGTCTTGGAGGCCTCTTGGGCCGTCTTGGGGGCCTCTTGGGGCCGTCTTGGGCGCCTCATCCTTGGGCGATCTTTGGGAGCTCTTGGGCCGTATCGGGCCGTCGGAAGGCCGAAACGAAGCAAATGTCAAAATCCTTCAAAAACCCTTCGGAAAATAATTCTTTTTGGCCTTTTCTGGCCTTCCGTCTTGGGGGCCTCTTGGGCCGTCATGGGGCCATCTTGGAGGCCTCTTGGGCGATCTTAGGGCGACCTTGGCGGCCTTGGGGGCGGTCACGGGCCGTCGGAAAGCCGAAAAGGCGCAAATGCCAACATCCTTCAAAAACCTAACAAAAAATCAAGGATTTTGGCCTCGTCGGGCCTTCCTGGAGGAACTCTTGGAGGCCTCTTGGGCCGTCTTGGAGGCCTCTTGCGGGCCTTCTGGGCGGTCTTAGACCATATTGGGGCCACCTTGGGCCGTCTTGGATGCATCTTGGGGCCATTTTAGCCGTCTTGGAGGCCATCTTGGTTGTCTTAGAGGCATCTTGCAGGCCATCTTGGGCCATCTTCGCATTTGTTGGAGGAAGTCCCGAGCGAAACGGCCGTTTTTGGCGATGGCAACCGGGTCTTCCGGGTGGCCGGCGGGACGCAGTGGCGCAGCCCGCATGTGTCCCGTCACCCTGTTCAGCACACCATTCACACGGTTCGTGGCTCCCTAGGGGCCCCACCGAAGGCTCCAGTGGCCATGCTCGCACGCGCCCGCCCCATTCATGTTGGCACACCCCTCACGCGCTTCGTGTCCCCATATGGGGGCTGCACCGACGGCCACAGTGACCATCTTCGCGAGCGGCAGCCCCACCCATTTCGGCACGTCTCTCACGCGTCTCGTGACTTCACCAACGACCGCACTCGCAACTGCATATGGTTGGGTCATGCGCCATTTTTTTTGTTTGTTCTTTTTTTGTTCTTTGTTTTTTTTTGTTCTCTCTCTCTCTCTCTGTCTGTTTCTCCCTGTCTCTCTCTCTCTCTCTCTCTCGCTCTGTACCTCTCCCCCCCCTCATATATCTTTTGTGTGTAGATATAGGCATCCCTGTTTAACGGCATACTGTCGTGTAACTGTACATATATATACACATATTATATGTATCTCTCTCTCTGTATGTACGTCTCTGGCTCTCTCTCTCTCTCGCTCTTTCTCTCCGTCTCATTCAATCTCTGACTACTCCTGTCCCTTTCCCCTCTCCTCTCTTCCCGCTTGTCCCGCTCCCTTCCCTAGTCTCTTTCCCTTCTCTCTCCCTGTCAATGTCCCTGCCCGCGTCACTTTCCTGTCTTTGTCATTTTTCAGTGTGCCTCTCCGCTTCACTCACGCAATCGCCCACTCACCCCCTCTTTCATTCATTCGCTCGCTTACTCTGTCTGTCTCTCTTTCTGTACCTCTCCCGGTTCCTATTTCAACCGTTCCCCTTAGTTATTTCAAGAATTTAGCACATCGCCCTTTCCCTCCCCTTCCCTCTCTCCAAACTTGTATATCTCGAGCTGTATTTTTTTTGTTCGCCCCCCCACCCGTCTCTCTATGCTCCCCCTTACCCCCCCCCCTTCTCGTCCGTGCCCACATCCCCTCCGCCCCACTTCTTCCCTCGTCTCCATCTTAGTCCACGACGTCCAATGTGGTTTCCTGCACTTTTTCCAACGTCCTGCATGCTGACGTACTGCAGTGCCGTCTCATTCCCCAGGAGATGCCCATCGGCCTCGTTGCCAGCCAGTTTGGTGTCAGCGCGACCGACAGGAGCAGAGTGGGCGAACAGGGTCGAATGCAGTGGGCATCGCAGGGTGGCGATCTGTCTGCTTGCCAGAGTGGGGAGCAAGCTGTGGCTTCTGTTGCTGCGTGTCGGGGCACGGTCACAGCGCCTTCGCGAAAGGCCGGGACGACCACGGACTCGGACCGTGCCGCGACCCTCCTGGAATGGATGATCTTGACCTCCTCTGGCCTTCCCAGAGGCCCTCTGGGAGGCCTCCTGGGCCGTCTTGGGCCGCCTTAGAGCCATCTTCGGCCGTCTTGGTGGGCTCCTGGCCCGCCTGACGCCGTCGGAAGCCGTCCTGGGGGCCTCTCTGGGCCGACTTGGGGCCCTCTTGGGTGCTCTGGGGCCGACTTGGAGGTTTCCTTGGGCGTCTTGGAGGCCTCTTGGGCCGTCTGTGGGCCCTCTTGGGGCTGTCTTGGGGGCCTCCTCTTGTCTTGGGTGCTCCAGGAGCGATCTTGGGGGCCTCTTGGGCCGTCTTGGGCCGTCGGTAGGCCGAAAAGGAGCATATATGAAAATCTGGAGGCATCTTGGAGGCCGTCTAGGGCCATCTTGGGCGAGAGAGGCATTGACATGTGCAGTTTGCGGTCTCTTCCGGGTGGCCTGCGGGCTGGGCCGGAGCCCCAGGGAGAGTTTTTTTACCTAACATCGAAGACTGATAGGTTTTTAATAGGGTAAAAAGAGAGCAGCACATTACTTCAACATTACTTCAACATTACTCCACAGGGGGGTCTGGGCAGCCGTTGGGGGCAGTTGGGTGGCAGTTGGGGGGCCGTTGGGGTTTGCCGGGGGGGATCGTTTTTCGCATACAGTCACACACTTCGTGCTTTTCGATTTCCCAGAACTCCATTCCCGGGCCACATTTTGGATGCCCGGAGCCAACTGTAGGCCACTTCGTGCTCTTCGATTTCCCAGAACTCCATTCCCGGGCCACATTTTGGATGCCCGGAGCCAACTGTAGGCCACTTCGTGCTCTTCTATTTCCCAGAACTCCATTCCCGGGCCACATTTTGGATGCCCGGAGCCAACTGTAGGCCACTTCGTGCTCTTCGAGTTCCCAGAACTCCATTCCCGGGCCACATTTTGGATGCCCGGAGCCAACTGTAGGCCACTTCGTGATCTTCGAGTTCCCAGAATTCCATTCCTGGGCATGATTTTGAATGCCCGGAGCCAACTGTAGGCCACTTCGTGTTCTTCGAGTTCCCAGAATTCCATTCCCGGGCCACATTTTGAATGCTGAGGCAGGCTGAGGCTGAGGCTGAGGCAGGCTGAGGCTGAGGCAGGCTGAGGCTGAGGCCGAGGCTGAAGGCAGACTGAGGCTGAGGCTGAAGCAGGCTGAGGCTGAGGCTGAGGCAGGCTGAGGCTGAGGCTGAGGCTGGCTGATGCTGAGGCAGGCTGAGGCTGAGGCTGAGGCTGATGCAGGCTGAGGCTGAGGCAGGCTGAGGCTGAGGCTGAGGCCAAGGCTCAAGGCAGACTGAGGCTTTGGCTGAAGCAGGCTGAGGCTGAGGCTGAGGCTGAGGCTGAGGCAGGCTGAGGCTGAGGCTGAGGCAGGCTGATGCTGAGGCAGGCTGAGGCTGAGGCTGAGGCTGAGGCTGAGGCTGATGCAGGCTGAGGCTGAGGCAGGCTGAGGCGGAGGCCGAGGCTGAAGGCAGGCTGAGGCTGAGGCTGAAGCAGGCTGAGGCTGAGGCTGAGGCAGGCTGAGGCTGAGGCTGAGGCAGGCTGATGCTGAGGCAGGCTGAGGCTGAGGCTGAGGCTGATGCAGGCTGAGGCTGAGGCAGGCTGAGGCTGAGGCCGAGGCTGAAGGCAGATTGAGGCTGAGGCTGATGCAAGCTGAGGCTGAGGCTGAGGCTGAGGCTGAGGCTGAGGCTGAGGCTGAAGGCAGGCTGAGGCTGAGGCAGAGGCAGGCTGAGGCTGAGGCTGATGCTGAGGCTGAGGCAGGCTGAGGCTGAGGCTGAGGCTGAAGGCAGACTGAGGCTGAGGCTGAAGCAGGCTGAGGCTGAGGCTGAGGCAGGCTGAGGCTGAGGCTGAGGCAGGCTGATGCTGAGGCAGGCTGAGGCTGAGGCTGAGGCTGATGCAGGCTGAGGCTGAGGCAGGCTGAGGCTGAGGCCGAGGCTGAAGGCAGACTGAGGCTGAGGCTGAAGCAGGCTGAGGCTGAGGCTGAGGCAGGCTGAGGCTGAGGCTGAGGCTGAGGCTGAGGCTGAGGCAGGCTGAGGCTGGCTGAGGCTGATGCAGGCTGAGGCTGAGGCAGGCTGACTGAGGCGGAGGCTGAAGGCAGACTGAGGCTGAGGCTGAGGCTGAGCAGGCTGAGGCTGAGGCTGAGGCTGAGGCTGAGGCTGAGGCAGGCTGAGGCTGAGGCTGAGGCTGAGGCTGAGGCTGATGCTGAGGCTGAGGCTGAGGCTGAGGCTGAGCAGCAGGCTGAGGCTGAGGCTGAGGCTGAGGCTGAAGCAGGCTGAGGCTGAGGCTGAGGCTGAGGCAGGCTGAGCTGAGGCAGGCTGAGGCTGAGGCTGAGGCTGATGCAGGCTGAGGCTGAGGCAGGCTGAGGCTGAGGCCGAGGCTGAAGGCAGACTGAGGCTGAGGCTGAAGCAGGCTGAGGCTGAGGCTGAGGCAGGCTGAGGCTGAGGCAGGCTGAGGCTGAGGCTGAGGCAGGCTGAGGCTGAGGCTGTGACTGCGACTGCCGTTGCCACTGCGACTGTCATCGCGAATGCGACTACGACTGCGAGAACAGCAGAATTCTACAACTGGATTCTCATCCGAATCTTAAGGGGAATGCTTCCAGATGTGCTCCTACACATCGATGTTAGGTTGCTTTGCCGGGATAATTTGGGAAAAGAGCCAAAACCCAAATCGGTAGCGGCTACCACGCCGGGCACCCCTGTGGCAAGCCAACAGGGGCCGGCGGATCTAGTGGCCTTCGGCCCATCCCGGTTCGAGGCCTCTTGAATGTTCGTTTTGATATCGTGGGAGGCCTCTCGGGGGCCTCTTGGAGGCAGTTTTGAGGCCGCTTGGGTGCCGTTAGGAGGCCTCTTGGGGTCTCTTTTTGGGCCTCTTGAAGGCTTCGTGGGGCCTCGAGGTGGCCTGTGCTGCTTTCTTGGGGGCCACTTGGGGCCTCCTTGTGGCCTGTTGGGGCGGAAGGCTCGAATTGTCAGTTCGTGTTCCCCTCTCGGGCCCCTCTTGGGGCCGTCTTGAGTCCCTCTTAGGCGATCTTGGGCGCCTCTTGTGCCGTTTTGGGTCCCTCTTGGACCGTCTTGGGGCCCTCTTGGGGGCGTCTTGGGCCGTCTTGGGGCGGTCTGGGGGCCTCTGAGACCACCTTGGAGCGTCGGAAACCCGAAAACGCGAGAACGCGAAAAACATACGAAGAGCCTCTTGGGTTTCCTCTTTGAGCGCTCTTGGGGCTTCTTTGGGACCTTTTGGGCCGTCTTGTGGCCATCTTGGGCGACTTGGAGCGCTCTTGTGCTGTCTTGGAGGCCTCTTGGACCCTCTTGAGCGCTTTCTGGGGCCCTCTTGGTCCGTGTTGGGGCCCTCTGGCCCTTTGGGGGCCTCTTGGGCTGTCTCGGGGCGGTCGTGGAGACATCTGGGGTCATCTTGGAGCGTCGGACGCCCGACACCGCGAGAACACGAACAGCATCGAACAGCGCATGAACAATCCATAATGTTTGCTTCTCTTGGGGCGCTATTGGGGCTTCTTTGGGGCCTCTTGGGCCGTTTTGGGGCCTTTTGGGCCGTCTTGGTGCCATCTTGGGAGTCTTGGAGCGCCCTTGGGTAGTCTTGGAGTCTTGGAGGCCTCTTGAACCCTCTTGGCTGCTTTCTGGGGCCCTCTTGGCCCGTCTTGGGGCCCTCTGGCCCCTGGACACTTTACGCGAGGCAGTCCAAGAACGCTCGGGAACGCCCTGGAAGTTGAAAGTTTGGGGCTCCAGCCCTTAGAATGCTATAGTCGTAGAGTCCCGAGTACAGAGAACAGAGGACACATGAGAGCCTGGGGGTCACTCCATTCCGTGCCTTCAGGCACGGTGGCAGATTCTAGCATAGCCATCGGTCAGGAACGCCATATGCAGTCGGACACAGTGAATAACAGGGTGACGTGAACGGTGGTGGAGAGGAGGGAAGACGACACATTGAGCACGATGGGAGTGTGTCTGTGTGTAGGGGTGCGGTGGGTGGTGATGTGGGGGGGCTAAGCCGACCAATATATCCAGGAGAGATGATGCAGGAGAGGAATGCGATGATGAGCAAGGGGGGCCACTGGAGTCGACCAAGTGGGCGAGAATCGAAGACGTCCGAGAGGAGGAGGAGGAGGAGGAGGAGGAGGAGGAGGAGGAGGAGGAGGAGGAGGAGGAGGAGGAGGAGGAGGAGGAGGAGGAGGTGGAGGAGCAGGAGGAGGAGGAGGAGGAGGAGGAGGAGGAGGGAGGAGGAGGAGGAGGAGGAGGAGGAGGAGGAGGAGGAGGAGACGGACGAGGCCACAGATGTTGAGAGAAAGACGGGGGGATTAGAAGGGACAGAGGATCAGCAGGGAAGGGCCAGGATTGCCACATAGAATTGGGTTTGACGGACAGGTGGCCATGCGATGCCTTCGCGGCAGGGTCCGCATGCATGGCGGGGGCAGGACGCTCGAGCTGACCCTGCGCTTCGACGAGTCGACTGGGCCTGCTCAAACCAGCACCCCCCTGTCGTAGCTGTTTCCCCAATTGTTCTGTGATGTTGGGTCCTCGTTTTGAAGAGAGCGCCCCGCGTTCCCGCTCCTCCTCCTGCCATCCCTTGCCCCTGCCCTCCGCACGTCATCATCATCGTCACATGGGCGCACGCAAGTCCACCTCCTTTTCGGCGCACCCGTCATAGGTTTCGTTGTCCCAGAAAGGTGCCCTACCAGAGGCGCCAGTGGCAGGGACCGCATGCACTTCCACCCCCAATCTGGCGCAACCCTCACACGTTTCGTGGCCCCACAGGATGCTCTCCCGAAGGCCCCAGAGGTAGGGTCCACATGCAGTTCCACCTCCATGATGGCGCACCATCACACGTTTCGTGGCCCCACAGGTCGCTCCACTGAAGGCCCCAGTGCGGGGCCCCTCACGCGCTCCGCGGCCCCATAGGGTGCTCCACCGAAGATCCCAGCGGCAGGGTCCGCATGCAGTTCCACCTCCACGGCGCACCTTCACACGTTTCGTGACCCCAGAATGTGCTCCACCGAAGGCCCCAGTAGCAGGGTCCGCATGCAGTTCCGCTTCCATTTCGACGGATCCCTCACACGTTTCGTGGCCCCATAGGGTGCTCCACCGAAGGCCCAGTAGCAGGGTCCGCATGCAGTTCCACCTTCATTTCAGCGGACCCCTCACATGTTTCGTGGCCCCATAGGGTGCTCCACCGAAGGCCCCAGTAGCAGGGCCCGCATGCAGTTCCACCTTCACTTCAACGGACCCCTCACACGTTTCGTGGCCCCGTAGGGTGCTCCACCGAAGGCCCCAGTAGCAGGGCCCGCTTGCAGTGTCTGCTTCCATTTCGGCGCACCCCTCACTCGTTTCGCGCCCCCGCAAGGAGCTCCACTGAAGACGAGGTTCACGACTGCGGCACTCACAACTGCACATGGTTGGGTCTTTCACCAGGCTGATTTTGTTTAGTGTTTCGCCGATCGGCGCGGGACCCAGGAGAAGGATGAGGAGGAGGAGGAGGAGGAGGAGGAGGAGGAGGAGGAGGAGGAGGAGGAGGAGGAGGAGGAGGAGGAGGAGGAGGAGGAGGAGGAGCCCCCTCCCTTCTTCCCGTGTGCGACGGGTGCGACGGAAGGCTAGGAGGATGATTGGAGGCAAAGGCAACGGCAGCGGAGGGCGGCGACGCCTGCACGGACGAAGGAGGGCTGCATTCATTTTTGTGGCCTTTTCAGCCGACCAATGCGACGAGGTTTTCTATGGGGGCCGAGGCAAGGGCCGTGGTCGTAAGACGTCTGGGAAGGACAAAGGAAGAAGCGGCAGTCCCTGGGGCGGTGGCGGAAATGCCCTCAAATGCCACGGCGGCGGCAGCGAAAACCATCTGATCAGAGACTGCCCGCCGAAGGGGAGCGGAAGGGGCGCCGATGTCGAAACCCACTTTGACTCAAGCGCCGATGAACGCCCAGAGCACCTCTCACTCGAAGAGTTATTCTATCCTTCTCTTCCTCTGTTCGCTCATATATGTCTCCCTATCCTTGCCCCTCTTCCTGTCCTTGTCCCTTTTCATTTCTCCTCCCTCTCCGTCTCCGTCTCCGTTTTCATGTCCCTGCTCTCCCTCCTCCTTCCCTCTCTCTCTCTTTTTCTCTATATCTACCCCCCTGTCTGGCCCCTGTCTTCCTCAGTCGCTCATCCCCTGCTTCCCCCCTTGAGTCCCTTTTATTTTCGTTAGGTGGCATTCGTTACGCTGCGCTCCCTCGTCGAGTGCCCCTTGCATCCTAAAGAGCTCGACCCCGTCAGGTGGGGCAGCTGATGGGCTGGCGCACGCGAGAAGCTGTGTCAGACAGGTGCCTTCCGAACTGCTTGAGGAGGTGGAGGAGAAATGCTGGGCTAGACGTTTGCGCCAGATAGCTCTCCCCGCCCTGCCTTTGGCGCTTGCTTGCCCCACGCGGGCTCGGGAACGTGGAGCGTGGGACCCCCTTGAACATGCCCGCGCTTCTCCCTCCCCTCCCCTCCCGCTCGCTTGCCCGTCTTCTCCCCGTGCCCCCCCCTCCTGCGTCTTCCCCCCCGCTCCTCTTCTCGTTCCCCCCCGCCCCTAACCTCCTTCCCACCAATCTGGTCTTCCCGCTCCTTCTTTCCCCTTGTTACGTGGAGGATACAGGGAGGGAGGGAGGGTGGAATGGTTGGACGGGGCGGAGGGGAAGCCCTTTTCTCCCGTCCCTATTTCTTTCTATTCCTTTCCAACTACTCAATAAGAGTACTTTTTTCCTCTTTCCCTTGACTCTGCCTGCAAGATGTTCGGCCCTCTCCGCGTACTGTTTCTACTACGCAGGACAGGATCACATTTTTATGTTCACAATCCGATTGTTTCCCGGGTTTCAAAAATTGCGCTCCCGCTGCAGCGCGGGCTTCATGTTCTGATCGGCGCTGTGCCCCCGTCGCTCAGACTGGCGCTCTCGCCACGGCGCGGGCAATTTTTCTGGTTCCGAATCCTTTTTCGTCTTTGTTGCCCCGCTCATTTTCCCTCAGCTTTCCCAGGTCCTCCTGCTCCTCCCGCTTCTGCCACCTCAGTTCCTGCTGCTGCTGTTCGTCCTCCTCCTCTTTCCCCCTCCTTCTCCTCCTCTTGTTCCTGCTCATACTCCTGCTCACCTGCCACTTCGTCCTCCTCCTCCTAAGTACGCAGCTCCCCTTGTTCGATTGCGCACAACGAGATGCTTTTTTTTGAGGTTCCAGGTCGGCTATGACGCGCGTCCGTGGACAGAGAAATCATCAGCACAAGGAGAAGGGCTGGGAGGGAGGGATAGGGTGTCCGATGTGGCGCGAGCGCACCTGGCTTGGCCCTTCCTTCTCTCTCGTCTCCGCTTCCCGAGCCCCTCCCGGATCCTGTCCTCTTGGGCTTCTCTTGGGGCCCTACTGTACCCTTCCTGGAGCCCTCGCGGGCCGTCCTGGGCCGAAACATCGAGAAGGCCAGCCACGTTGAACAACACGCTCGTGTATGTGTTTATGTGTATGTGTCTATGTGCACTTGTGTGTGTGTGTGTGTGTGTGTGTCTGTGTGAGTGTGTGTGTGCGTGTGCGTGTGCGTGCGTGCGTGCGTGCGTGCGTGCGTGTGTGTGTGTGTGTGTGTGTGTGTGTGTGTGTGTGTGTGTGTGTGTGTGTGTGTGTGTGCGTGCGTGCGTGCGTGCGTGCGTGCCTGCGTGCGTGTGTGTATGTATGTGTGTATGTGCGCGTGCGTGTGTGCGTATGTATGTGTGTGTGCGTGTCTGTGTGTGTGTGTGTGTGTGTGTGTCCCTCTCTCTCTCAACATGTATGTATATATATATATATGTACTTCTATTTATATATATATATATATCTATACACATGTATCGTTTCAATGATTTGACCTCTGATGGGGGCCCCTCGGGAGGCTCAGGGCCCGCACGGGAGTCATTTTGGTGCCATCTTGGGACCATCTTGGCGCCATCTTGTGGCCTCTTGGGGTCATCTTTCGGGAAGGAGATCGACTACGGAATTTGTTTTGTCGGGGAATGTCTTTTTCGTCGAATCTACAATGCGTACGTATGATGTCAGATCTACGCAGATTCCAGCTATTACGAATTGATTGCATGGATACGAAAGTTTGAGATCATTCAATTCTGTAGTCGATCTCTTACTCGAATATTGGAAGCAATCCTGGGCCCATTTTGCGTCATCTGAGGACACTCAGGGGCTGTTGTGTTGCTTTGTTTGGTGAAGCTCGTGGGGCAATACCTGTTGTACGTCTCAATATTGGGATCGCCAGGCTTTCTGCAGGTCGCTCCCCCTGTCATGGGTGTCTGCAGAATGTGCGAGCACCACGCACACAGACACCTCCCGCAAGGACCACTTCGGTATCAGAAGGGGCTCGGGGTTCCTTAGGCCCCTCCTTAGTCGGGTGTTGCCAGCGGTGTCCGTGGCCCATGGTGTCCCCGGGATTCCCAGGACGGCCTACGCACAAAACTGTGTAGAGTACTGGTCAATCTTCAAGTGCTGCAGGGCGGCAGGTCTCAGCTGAATCCTCGGCATCATCATTGCACACTTCTGCGGAATGTTCTTATCGTGGAGTGTTGTCAGCAAAGGGTCCATGAACATGCGGCCTTCGCTGCCATGTTCGCGCATGCACCTGTGAAAGGGCACGTGCTCACAGTCATGCACGCTTGCATCGTAACCATGCCTCATGAAGGGCTCCGCTTTGTAAAGGGCGAGTCCTCCAAAGCACGAGTGCAATGGCTGGGGATGGGATCCATCAAACATGATCGCCGCGAGTGTGGCTCCGCAGCCATATCCGTTGAACTAACCGCGACCTTCAGCTCAGGCCGAGCCATCTTCCTGCAGGGATGTTGTTGTGGTGACAGAGGATGCTGGCACAGATCATGCTCCATGTGTCCCATATAGTGAGCGGGCGCCCCAAAGAGTTGAAGAACTTGTGAGGCAACACGGCATGATCCCCGAACAGGTCCAGATCGAAACCGTACAATACCACCAAATCCCAGCCAGGGTTCTTGATGACAGAAGACCTGACGAAAGACTTCAGCCTGCTCCGCAGAGTCTCCATGCGCATCATGCGGGACTGTTCCAGCCCCCGCGAATCGCCCAACCACAAGGTAAGATATTGGAACTCGAACTTGATATCTCGATGAGCGATTTTCTCTAACTGCATGGCAGTGCCATCAGAGGAATCGCTCTCCAAGACAATGAAATGGTAATCCTTGAACCATCGCCCGATGTTCTTCAACATCTTGTAGCTACTGTCCGCGGCTTTTTCAGCACTGCGGGTGAGACCAGCAATCGTGACCGACGTTCTGCTTGCAAGCTTGTGTCGTCGCTCGATGTTCGCCTCCACCTTGTACCAGTTCTGCACGCCCGTTTTTTCTCCAGGGGAGTGGCATAACACAGCCCGGGCTCTGCGCCACTCAGGACATCTGGGTTTGGCTCCACGTTTGGGCCCTCGCGGAGGATCGCCTGCTCTGCGGACACGCTGGCCGCAGCAAGCTGCCAGGTCTCCAGCGTCTGCTGGGGCACGCGCCCGAGCAACCCGAGACCCCGCGCGGGCACGACCAGCGCAGCGAGCAGGCCGGCAAGCCGCCGAGGCGCCACTGCGGCCGGCCGGGCGCAGGCCGGCCAGAAGCCAGGGCGGCGGGCGTGTCATAGTCGTAGAGGCCGTATACGACAAGACAGAAAAAGAAATCAAGTTGAAAATAGAAAAGAAAACAAGACAGAAAAAGAGGATTCCCAGGAAGGCCCAGAGGGCCTCCAGAGAGCAAGCCTCATGAGGCCGCAGGGAT